TTATTTGATTTTCTTCTTGGGGGTCCGGCCCCCAAGGAGACTGTCTGGTAAAACTCTGGCCCTCTGACAAATATAGTTGATGACCCCTGATCTACTCTTTCCTGGATACCTACAGAAGCTTCCCCCCCCCCCACTACCTTGCTCCGGGTCAGTAAGTGATCCCCGGTTTCTTCGGTGCCGGCAGTGATAGCCAACCGCGAACGCCACAAAACGACCCACAGATTCAAAAAAGAGTTTGTAGATTTCACTAATTCAGACCACCTGAAGCTCCTCAGGTACTGCAGCACAAGATGGCTAAGTCTGTTAACCTGCATCCAGAGAGTGTTGAACCAGTGGGATGCACTACAGGTAAGGACGGTAACTCCAGCAGATATATACGCAGTTACTATGCTATGTTACCAATTTAACCATGAATTGCGACCATGTGTCCCTATATATTGTGGGCCTACTTTAACAGTCATGAGGAGGTGGAGAGGAGTGCCAAAGTGCGTGATCTGGCAAGCCATCTGTGTGATCCAGTCATGAAGATCTACTTCATGTTCATGTGGCCCTTAAGCCTTTATCTGAATTTAACATTGCCTTCCAGGTGGGTGTCAATGATACTGAATGAATGGGTGAATAATAGTCAATTATAATTAAATATGATTGTGCTTATTGTAGCATTCTTATTTCACTGTTATTTTCACATTTTGTTGTGACCAATGATATTCTCTGCTGCCAGAGGGAGTACAAATTCACAGACTTGAAGAGGAGATGTGCAGGCTGATCAGGAGGATCCTGTATGAAAGGAATTTGGCAGAAGTCGATTAGTTTAAGAGTCTGACAAAACTTTATTTCCTTTACCAAATATTTGGAGAACAGACACTCAGCAGTTTCACATGCATCTTGTGACCTGTTTCCTGAACAACAGGTGCTTACAATTTTTATAACCAAGAAATTGCGACAGCTTGCAGTCAGCTGATGAAGTCCGCTGAAGAGGAGAGCAAGGGGGGTTTGACCCTGTGGACATTAGTTACAATTGTGATGGGACATGTTTATCAGGTCAACACAGGTTCGGTTCTTTCCATGATCACTATCCTGTGTCAATTGAAGACAGGGTCGATCTTCTCATAAACAAGTTAAGTTCTTCATTTTACTTCCCCATATTCAAGCCTTTCTTATGTTGCAACAGCTTACTTTTCGGATCAGGTCTGTACCTTGATCCGATCCTCTTGCAGATTGAGCAAAAAATCAAAATAAATCAGTTCCGCTTTTATGCATGAAAGCCTATTTTTTCCTTCTAACTGCAAGCTAATATTACTGTTTAACAGAGTAAATGCAACATGCCATATTTCTGTTACAAATCATAAAGTAGTAATTATATAATCATATATACAGTGGTACCTCAGTTCTCGAACTCATTAAAACTAGAATTTCTTAAAAGTCGAACCAATCAGTTTGGAAAAATATTACCTATAACTCGATCTGAATCTCAGAAGTCAAACCGTGAACGCCGACCTCCAGTCTCAGCCTCGCATTCGCTGTGATAGCATCGTGCATGTTTACACTAGCTGAATACATATATTTAGACAGTAAAAAT